TATTGCTACATACTTCATTCTTATAACTGCTCTTGCTGTGTTCCAAAGATTTTGGACTATTGTGTTTTAATTTTCAACTGTCTCTATGTATTTTTCATTTTTTATTTGATTGTTTTGTTGGCTCACTGGTTGTTTAGTATCATAGTCACCTCCATGTGTTTGAGAGTTTTTCCAGTTTTCTTTTTCTTGTGATTTATTTCTAGTTTTATACCGTTGTGATCAGGAAAGGTGTATGGTGTGATTTCAGTATTCCTAAATTTACTGAGGCTTGTTTTTGGCCTAATATGTGATCTGTTGTGAACAATGTTCCAGGAATGTTCTTTATATGTTATATGTCCATCTGGTCCATCTCTTTTGCTGTTCTCTTGCCATTCTTTCTTTGGTTGTTCAGAAGCTGTTCAGTCAGCCCTCATTTTTTCTTCAGGAGGAATTATTCTATTATTAGGTGGACTTTGGTGTGTTCTGTGGAGGTGAGTTCAGGGTCTCCCAATGTCACCATTTTGGACTTATACTAGAGTTTTAAGTGAATTATGTATCATGATTACCATATTACATAGTGTACCATTGGTTGTATATTTATCATAAGCATTAAGTTTTAAGCTGCCTACTTATGTTTTTATGACGTTTATCATCATCCTTTTATTTTGACGCAAAAGATTTTAACATTTCTTGTGAGGCAGGTCTAATGTTAATGAACTAACTCTCTCAGCTTTTATTTGGAAAAGTCTTTATCTCTCCTTCATTTCTGAAGGACAACTTTGGGTATAGATAACTTAGTTGAAAGTTTTTTTTTTTCTTTCACATTTTTTGAATATATTCTCCCATTTTTTCTGACCTAAGATGTTTCTGTTGAAAAATCCACCTGTAGTCTTATGGGGGAGTCCCTTGTATGTAACTTGTCTCCTTTGCCACTTTCAAAATTCTTTGTCTTCAACTTTTGACAATTATAATCTGTCGTCATGTGGCCCTATTCATATTGAATCTACTTGGGGGTATTTTGGGCCTCATGGATCTGTATGTCTATTTCTCTCTCCAGGTTTGGGAAGTTTGTAGCCACTATTGCTTTAAATATCTTGTCTCTTCCTTTCTCTTCTACTTCTTGAATTCCCATAATGCAGATATTGTTTCTTGTGATTGTGTTCCATAGGTTCCATAGACTTTCTTCATTCTTTATTTTTGTTCTAATGAGTTGATGATTTCAAATGTCTTGACTTCTAGGTCATTGTTTTTCTTCTTGGTTGAGTTTGGTTTTGAAGGTCTTTATTGCATTATTAGTTTCACTCATTGTATTTTTTTAGATGTAGAATTTGTTTTTATTTTGTTTTTGATAGTTCCTATTTCTTTGGGCTTCTCTTTTCATGTTCTCTTTTCCTCATTTCACTGAGTTGGCTGTGTATATTTTTCACTAAACTTTAAAAGCATTATTCTCAATTCTTTGATAGATCATAGATCTCCATTTCTTTAGTCATTTATTGGGGCTTTATAAGTTCCCTTTGATGGTGCCCTATTTATCTTACTTTTATGATCTTGATTCCTGAAGTTGGTGTCTTATGTGTAAGTATTCATATTCATATATGAATATATATGACTTAGGTTCACTTTGACAGACAATTCACTAGTTAGCTTAGTTTGGGTTTCTGGACATATCTGCTAGTAACATCCTTGGTAGGCGAGGCTTGCTATCAGGATCTGTTTTTGGGTGAGGCCAGTGCCCAAGCTCTGAGGTTGGCCTGTGGGTTGGGGATGCCGCTAGCTGAGAACATTTGGATTGCTGCCTTGATTTCCTTCCTAAGCAAGGCTATAGGCTAGGCTCTGTGGTTTCGTAGGTTCTCTGGTCAGGTTTCCTAGAGGTTCAGGGCTGGGTACTATTCTTCGCAGTGCGTGGGGCTATGAATTATTATTACAGAATGGTAACTCTGGAAATTGGATTTTCCTGTCTTCTGGGTTTGTTTCTCTGCCTGTTCTAGTTGGTTTAGTGATGTTTTTAACTCATTTTGTAAAGTCTGTGTTGTCACATATGACCACTGTCATCTTGTTTGTGTTACTGTAGTGGTCAGCTAGTGATTTGAGAAAGTCTGTTAAACACCTGGTGCCTCCTCTCCCCCAAAGTATCCTATACTTAGTAGATTGGCTGTGTGTGTTGGGGAAAACCTTCAACTTTCAGCCAGGCAATATACAACTCTAACATAACCTTTACTTTCTGCTTATAGAGAATCTGAAGGTCAAAGTTGAGGGTTTAGAACCTCTCAGATTTTTTTTAGAGCATTCACTGATCAGTTTATGTGTGTTTAGTCATCTAGATTCCTATATGAAAGTAGTCCTTATTGTCTTTATTCCCCAGCCTTTCTTCCCAAGGTTTTCATTTGTTTATCCCAAATGTTACCCCTTGTCCAGGTGGTAGCAGCTAATGCATTTACTTTTAAGTGTTTTTGAACCCCCCCTCCCCACCCCCAGGTAGTTGACTCCAATTTGGGAGAGTTTTGGGTAAGACAAAATAGAGGCAAGTCTTAGAGCTGGTACTTCAGGAAGCCAAAATCCAGGACTAAATAATCAACCTCAGTTCTCTGATAAAAAGCTCCATTTTCCTCCCTCTTGTACTAGGATCCTATACATAGAATGTGGGCTATTGTCTTCCAAGATGCCACTGAGAAGGGAAGCAGGGGATACGGCCAGGCTGTTAAAGGCTTTTTTTTCTCTTTCCTGGTTGCTGTAAATGGTAATTGATTTCTAGAGTTCTGACGAGGTTGATGGCGATAGTTTTTGCCAGTTTATTTACTGCTTTTGTGGAAGAACATGTTTTTGGAATTCCCTACTCCATACTGTGTTCATTGACATAACTATATGCTTATTTTTAGATATGATTTTTTTAACATATTAAAACGGTTTCATCATTAACCACAAATGCAAAGGGACTGAGTATTGAAAATATAGCAAGAAGATGATGTGGAAATGATATAAAGAATCAGAACTATTAACATCCCATGGCTTTTTCTTCAAACTTCATTTTTATAGTGTATATTAGTGGCCAGTGCCATAGACTTATGAATTAGGAACAACTGGAATAAAAAGAGCTTTTTGAACCCTAAGCAGCCTGTCAGTGGAGGAGATTCTGGAGAGAGAGAGAGAGAGAGAGAGAGAGAGAGAGAGAGAGAATGTGTGTGTGTGTGTGTGTGTGTGTGTGTGTGTGTGTGTGTAAAGAAAAGGAGCTATGAAGTTGAACATCAATAGATGTTCTATTCCAGTGCCTATGTTCATGAGGTTCTAGTGTTTTCGGACTTGAACTATGTTGAAGCAAGGGGGATTGACAAGAAAGGTCACAGATGGTGAGGTTCCAAGCTTCCCACAAATAGACTGATATATAGGACTGCATGATAAATATGCCTGATTATAAATACCTATGGGACTTTAGGCAAAAAGAATCTGTGAGGTGGAATGGAATTAGGGTTACACTAAATTAGCTTATAAATTTATCCCGGACTTAACCTGATTGCAAAATCCCCAGGGATGACGTCTATAGGCACCATTATTTTCTTATCACCTTAGTTTCACACAAAGTAGGTACCTTATAAATATCTATTACCTGAGCTATGTAAGGAAATAAGGTTAGCTAAGCCTGTGGGACCAGATTATAGTGGATTTTGAAGTCTAAAAAAAATAAATCCCTGAGAACAAAATATTATATGAAGTTTAAGGAAATGATAGGTGATAAGAATTACAGCAGAAACATAAGCATTAAGACAGTAAACTACTGATATTTTGGTCAATGCATAGGCTTAAAAAAGCCCTCACTTTTAGGTATTTGATGTATTTGGGGGAAGGGAATTAAAAGGATTAAACATAATTCTTTCCCTCAAAGAGCTTCATGTATGTAGAAAAGGCTTAGAAGGAGTAGGTTCAAGGAGAGCCAAGAGATGGAAGAGCAGCTTGAGAACGTCTACCTTGAAGTTTTCTGAAATAACTCTTTTCCTTTTTTAAATTCTTAAGTCTTTTGGCTTATGGTTACAGCCAAATATGCAATTTGAAAACTTGATGTCTTATGATCGATGTGAGAATAGTGCTATCTTTAGGGAGAGTTATATGAGGGAGTGTTCCATGGTACTAGAAATATCTTGATCTAGGTGTTGGGTTTTATGGATGTATTAATCTAGAAGTTATAGAATTTTTAGAAATTGCTATATAGGGGATCCCTGGGTGGCTCAGCGGTTTAGCACCCACCTTCAGCCCAGGGCATGATCCTGGAGTCCCAGGATCAAGTCCCACACGGGGCTCCCTGTATGGAGCCTGCTTCTCCCTCTGCCTGTGTCTCTGCCTGTCTATGTATCTCATGAATAAATAAATAAAAACTTAAAAAAAAAAGAAGAAATTGCTATACAGTTCTAAAAATTACCCTTTTATGATGTTTTAGACAATTCTCTGGGATTTATGTTAACAAAATGGATACTCAGACCTATAGTCAAGGAACAATGTTAAGGATAGATTATAAGGAAATCATTTTAATTTTTATGCCATAAAGATCAAGTCATATTTACATTTGCTTGGTCAATGACATGTCACATCACTTTTTAGTCTTCTTGGTAACTATGCTTAGGAAGATGCCCTGTGGTCATAAATGTTTCCATCTTATGCTTTCATCTTCTAAAATGTCAAATGCAAGCTGTTAAGGAGGGGGGAAAAACCCACTCCTTGGTATCTGCAGACAATACTATACCCAACACTAGACAAACGACAATATAGCAGAGAGGATGCTACCAAATAAGTGTTCCCATTTTGTATCATGCCGGCATCATTCAAAAGTTTAGTAAATAAATTCTTTTTTATACTGAGAACAGCCTGAAGTTTTCACCAGATAATTTTTTTTTTTTACTGAGCAAAATTTCTTAAATTCATAAGAAAAAAGGAACAATTTTTTCCTTGTTAAAAAAACCATAATTAACACTTACAAAGAAAGCATGTTTGTTACCCAACCATAATATAATTAATACATGGCAGAAAAAAATCTCTTGGGTTTAAAAATAGCTTTATTTAGCATACCAAAAACACAGAAACATAAGAAAAACCTAGCATAAGAATGTGCTTAAGTATAAACATAAAAATAGTTAAATACCATAATTTAATGTAAACCAAGTGTTTAAAAATGTGAATTATAATAAAATACATGCTATTTACACAGAACCAAGTTAAAACTACTTCAACAGTTATTGTATCAGATTATCAATCTTGAAGTCATCATTAACAATCAAATACAGTATTTGTATTTGTACTGGTAAATTAAAAAAAAGGAATCCTTTAATTCACTTTAAATGGATATAATTCACTGTGATATTCGAAGCAGTAAGGCAGAAAGTACCAGTTCTAGGATTCCAGACACAACCACTGCATGTGGAAGTCTGGAAATCATTCCACTGGAAGACCATTAAGCCCATTCTCTCATTTAAATCATCTGGTTGATTCAATTTAGTTACTGCTTAAGAAAGGTACTACATATATCTGCAAAAACAAACCTTTATTAAAATGACCAAAGGTGAATGCAATATTAATCATGTAAGAAATGCAAAAGCATAAAAAATACGTATTACTCCAGACAAGCCCCTTTATGCCAAATGTTATGAAACTTAGTTTATAAAACCAGATGGGGTAGCAAAAGGGTTTTGAAAAATGTAAAACCTATATCAAAATCAAAGAAAACAAACCTAAGAGAATGTTTCTTGAAGAGAGTGGTATTTTGTTTATCCTGTCATTATCCCATAAATGCTGCCATGAGATCTGTGGCTAGTGTTGAGTTATCACTACAGAATGGTCCGTTTTCTTTGACCAACAGGCCAAAAGCTGTAGCCATTGGTTAGATTAAGCATTTGGCTTTTGCTTTAAGAACCAACATCTATTTTACACTATAATTCAGGTATCCTTAAGAGGCAGCATTAAATCCAATATCAAGACTTTAAAATATAAAGTTGCAAGAATATATACATAGTAATAGAATATCCTGCTCGCTCCTTTTTCTAATCCTGTAATTCTAAAACATTTAGTCTCCAGACCCTTTCATACTCTTTAAAATTAGAGACCTGGATGTCAAAGAGCTTTTGTTTATGTAGTTTATATCCATCAGTATTTGCCATATTAGAAAATATAACTGAGGGACGCCTGGGTGGCTCAGCGGTTTAGCGCTGCCTTCAGCCCAGGGTGTGATCCTGGAGTCCTGGAATCGAGTCCCACATCGGGCTCCCTGCATGGAGCCTGCTTCTCCCTCTGCCTGTGTGTCTGCCTCTCTCTGTGTGTCTCTCATGAATAAATAAAAATAAAATCTTTATAAAAAGAAAAGAAAACTGAAAAAATTTTAAGTATTTCTTCAAAAATTAAAGTCTATTACATGTTAGCATAAATATTTTTTAATAGCTGTATTTCCAAAAACGGAAAAAAGATTTGTGGGAAATGGCATCATTTTACATTTTCAACTACTTTTTGAGACACAGAGTGAAAAGACAACTTAAACTAATGCCTTTGTATTATTATGAAAATAGTTTTGATCTCATAGATGCCCTGAAAGGCTCTCAAGGACTCCCAAGAGTTCATGGGCCAGCCACTCTTTAAAAACTGCTGGTTTTTTAAATCTAACGCCTAATATTAATGACAAAAAAAAAAAAGGTCCACACAAAAGGAACCTTAATTTTCCTTTAAAAATAAACCAAAATAGCCATATATACACACACGTCACTGTATCAAACATTCCCACTTTTAGCTGTAACTAGTAGCCAAAAGTCAATGCATGTTCATAGCCAAATTCAAAATAATATTGTCATTTCTACTCAGACCAAGGTCAAGATTTAATCATTTTAGTTCATGAAAGCTACAAAATCTATTAACTAAACACATACATCTTAGTTCCCTTTCCAACATCTGCTTAATCCTGTTTATACTAAACTGGCTGCCATCTCTTAAATTGGCATAGCAATCTTTTAAAAAAAAAATTGGCATAGCAGTGGTATAGACCAGAGAGTGACAGGAGTTTAATAGCCCAGATACTCAGATCAGGAGCAGGTTAGCCATTAATGGAGCAGCCTACTATGTTTCTCACTATGTGAAAGAAAGCTCTGATACATTTTAGGGAAAGAGGGAGAAAATTCTCCCTTAAGCACAATGAGAACAATACTATGACCTCACACGTAGATAGCTCTTCACATCTTACAAATTACTTTCATACACACCATCTTATTAGATACTTTTAAAGTCCCTGGAGAAGAGCAGGACAAATTACATGATCTGTTTCAGAATTAAGGAATTGGAGGTGCAGATCCGGGCTTTCTCGGGGTACCATGGCAAGTACCTTTTTTATAGAACAGGATTAGAATTCAGGTCATCTGACTTCTAGTTCAGGGTTTTCCCCAGCACTTCTTTGGGTTCAGGGCAGGATTAGGGGAAGGGTCTGTGGTGATGGAGATGGAGGCAGCAGGATATGGCTGACACTTCCGGAATCTATATTCCTTCTGCCTCCATTAACCATTTTATCCAACACTAAGGAGGCTTGGGAGTGGCATAGATACTTCCTTGACCAGTATAATGAATTTTCCATCAGTACATACATAATGGAACTTTATATGAAATGACTCTTTTTTTTTTTTCTGAGCCAGTTTATGTTGGCAGTTCATTCATAGCCTGTTCCCTCTACTCCAAGGGAAAAGTAAAAATCCTGCACTTAAAAAAAAATTGACGAAAATATAAAATGAAATAGCAACAATAATGAGATCTATGTGAAACTATAACAGATTTATTGTGCACCTGGCACAACACAGACTTTGCAGTTTTCCTCCACCAACTGGAGAGCAATATAAAATCACAGTTCTTAATTTAATGGAAAATTGCCTCCTAATCATCTTGAGGCAAAGACTTCAGTCTATACAAAAACTAAGAAAATTTCAAGAATTTTAACTAAATTCTTAGGTTCTTACAGATTCTGTGGTGGTAGGAGAGGGAGTAGACAACAGAGTAAAAGGCGATAAAACAACAAAAAGGAAAATTATTGTCACAAATGAGCAAAGGAGAAATCTGTATCTATTCCCTGTCATTAATACATACAACTACATTAGAAACTATTCTGTTGCCAGAAAATCCTCTATACCAAGATGTTAATACAAATAGCATCAGACATTCAAAGGCACTAAGCAAACACTATTTAATTGGGGGGCAGGGAAAGCAGTAAACAGCAAAATCCTTCCTCCAATACTAGCCAAATGCCACTGATGACCAATGATATTTTTGCTATACACTATAAGCAAATTTTTATTGTGCCTTCCATTTCTCTGAGATGTTCCTAAAATCAAGATTGACTACATGCATTTTTTCCTAAGGTAGTTGAAGAAAAACGATGTTAACAAAAGCCAGTAGGAATTAGAAAACATACTAAGTTCATCTTACTTTCAAAATTCAACAGCATGTGGCTGGCTATCTATTATACAAATTGTTGGTGTCTCCCCTACTCCCAATTTTGGTGAGTAATGTTTTCTTTATAGGTGATTTAAACAGAAGTTAATGGCTTTTTAAGACACTTGCACATATACTGGGCTGATGTACACACACATATGTATGCATATATAAATACATATCTATACACATACATATATCTCATCACATGAAGACCTCCACTAATAAGTTTTTCCCTCTTCATATATTAGAGAAAATGAGCATGGATAATGATTTTATAGTAGGAAATAAAACTAATGAAAATCAAATCAGAAAATGTGAAGTGGTATGCTGTCAGAGTCCAATAAAATAAGTCAATGCACATTTATGTAGTGGTAAAGTGCTAGAAAGTTCTTTCATTAGTATTTTAAAAATGATTATAGTAAAAAGGTTGCAATTTCATTTGATAGTGGTGACCACAGGCACCATAGCAATGGCACTGGCTGAGTTGGAATTGATGATGTCCTCATACTCTGGGGGTGGGTCTAAATGAGGTTCTGTTTCACTCCTCTGGAGGTTCGCCTGGCCAGTGGCTTCCTCATAGGTAGGTGGGGGATCACAGTTGGATAGGCGAGTGGAGACGGAATCTGAGCGCCCAACTACATATTCCAGAAAGCCTGGTGACAATCCACTGCTATCAAACACTTCGTCTGGTGGGGGAGGTGGAGTGATAATATTAAGGTGCTGTGGGAAAGGAATGTGGCCTTCAGTTACTGTCTGTCTGCGAGTTTTGTTTCTGAGGAAGCATCTCCAAATTAGAAAAATGACAAGAAGGATAATGAAAAGGCCAAAGATTAATGGAAAGGTAAGGTAAAACTGAAACCAGTCACTTCCTCTGTTACTCTCTCCTTGTTGTGCTTTTGTGTAGGTGGTCCAAAACTCCTTCTGAAAATAAAAGACAAATTAAAAATCAGTATGATCGAAGGATAGGAAATACCGAATGAGCACTATTAACATAATGAACCAAAACCTCAAACCAGATTTGTTGGTTCAAATGACTTACTACTTATATTTTCCATGACAAGAAATTACAAATAAATCATGTTATGGTATTTACTCTGGATCCTCCCTAAAATGGTCAGTGGGACTCCAGGAGTCTTTCAAGTCTTTCAGGAGTTATTTATATTTTCACCTATGACACTGGAAAAACAAAGCATGAGCAATTTCCTGTTTCCCAATTAAACCAAATAATATTCCCTTAAAAATGTCAAATATCATTTTCCACATCCAACTATGAAGTTTCTTATCCCTGATCCCCATCATTATCACTGGTTATGTGCTATTTTAGGCTGTTGTAGACTTTCGGTAGTCAAACACTCCACCCCCAAAGTTTAGTACACAGATGTTCACTGAATGTCATAATTACACTATGTCCCTATTAGGAAGCTCAGGCTAGTAAAGAAATTGTATTAGGTTATTACCAAACATAGAATCCCAGAAGATATAAGACCCAGTAGTTCAAGTCTTTTAATATTGGTATGGGGGGAAATACTGAAAACATAAAAAGGTTACCTGACCCAATTACTAGTTATGGGACCTGGACAAGTTACTTTTGAGTTTTAGCTTCCTCACCTGAAATACAGGATAATACTGATCTGTCTGTATTGGCTGCCTGAGCATTATATGAAATAACATATATAACATGTCTAAGTCCTTAGCATATAAACACTCAAATAATAGTTATTATAATTTTTGTATAATGTAAGTCACTGCCTCAAATTCACTGATTAATCTATCTCATACCTTGGCACAAAGACCACCTCCAATCCCAATGCTACTGATTCTTTTTTCAATGTTTATACCTAAACAGTAAGTGCTTTTCTCACAATCCTATTTATTTGCAGGCACTACACGTCACTGACAGTAAATATCTGGCATCAAGGAAGGGAACCAGGTCATTATCCAAATGGGCAAATAGAGGGAGTTGGACTAGGGATTGTAATGCCAGATATCCCATGATAGCATGGCATTAACATAAATCTATGAATATGGTTAAAGACTCTGGGCACTAAAGGTGGTTGTTTTATAGTCATATTTTATTAGTCACACTGGCTTTTTTTTTCAAGAAAGAATATTTAGCATTTACGTTAGCAATTCCTAGTCACTATATCATTATCCATTCAGACTTAATTATATATACATTGCTTGAACCATTGCTCATTACTATTTGTTCTCTTCATCTTCCCTGATTTTGAAGTTGCTGTTCTGATTTATTTTGCAGTTGAATGGTCCTTTTTGAAGAATTTTCCATAGAGGATACACATGGGAAATAGTCTCTAAATTTTTTCAGCTCTATGAATAATTTTCCTTCACCCTGGCTGATAAATGTTATCATAATGATATTTCAGACTCTTAGGGTGTAGATTTTTTTTTTTTCTTTTTCCCCTCAGAGGTCTAGGTAGTATTCCATGGTACTGCAGCTTCTAATATGCAGGTAAGAAATCCCATACTTGTTCCTGGACTTTATTGTTTCTTATTTGTGAGATTTTATTTTTATCCCTGACTTCTTTTTACTTGGCTGAGGCCTTTTGATTTCTATTACTCTTTTTATTAGATTATAATTGACATACATTGTGTTAGCTTCAGGTGTATCAGGTGTAATTATTTTTATATCTTACAAAATGATCAAATAGGTCTAGGTACCATCTGTCACCATACAAAGTTATTATTTTTTTAAAAGACTTTATTTATTCATGAGGGGGGGGGGCGGGCAGGCAGAGGGAGAAGCAGGCTCCCAGCAAGGAACCTGATAGGGGACTCAGTCCCAGACCCCGGGATCATGCCCTGAGCAAAAGGCAGATGCTCAACTGCTGAACCACCCAGGCATCCCAAGTTATTATTGACTATATTCCCTCTACTGTACACTACATCCCCATGATTTACTTTATAACTGGAAGTTGTATCTATTAATCCCTTTCACGTATTCTATTCATCCCATTCCCCTCTGGCAACCACCAGTTTGTTCTGTGAATGTTTGTTTTGTTTTTTCTTTCCTTGATTCCACATGTAAGTGAATCTTATGGTATTTGTCATTCTCTGTTTGACTTAGCATAGTATCATCTAGGTCCATCCATGTTGTCACAAATGCAAGATTTCATTCTTTTATATGGGTAAAAGTCCATTGTATGTATCGTTTGTGTGTGTGTGTGTGTGTGTGTGTGTGTGTATATCTTTATCCATTCATCTATGGATGGGCACTTATGGTGCTTTCATATCCTGGCTACTATAAATAATGTTGCAATGAACACAGAGATCCATATATGTTTTTGAATTAGTATTCTCATTTTCTTCAGATAAATACCCAGAAGTGGAATTGTTGGATCATATGGTAGTTCTATTTGTAATTTTTTGAGAAACTTCCATATTGGTTTCCATAGTAGCTGCATCAAATTACATCCCCACCAAAAGCACACAAGGGTTCCTTTTTCACACATTCTCACCAATACTTGTTATCTCTTATCTTTTTGAGACTAGCCATTCTGGCAGGTGTGAAGTGGTATCTCATTTGTAGTTTTGATTTGCATTTCCCTGATGATGAATGTTGTTGAACATCTTTTCATGTGTTTGTTGGCCATCTGTAGATCATCTTTGGAAAAATGTTTATCCAGGTCATGAGCCCATTTTTTAATTGGGTTGGTTTTTCTTTGCCATTACTAAATTGTATGAGTTCTTTATATATTTTAGATATCAATCCCTTAACAGACATATTATTTCCAAGTATCTTCTCCCATTCAGTAGGTTGCGTTTTTCTTTTGTTAATGGTTTCCTTTGCTGTGGGAAAGCTTTTTAGCTTGATGTAGTCCCATTTATTTATTTTTGCTTTTGTTGCCCTTGCCAGAGGAGACATATTCCACCTCCACCCCCACCAGAAAAAATTGCTAAGACTGACATCTTAGAGCTTACTATTTATGTTTTCTTGTAGTTTTATGGTTTCAGGTCTTACTTTTTTTTTTAAGATTTTATTTATTTATGAGGGCCACAGAGAGAGGCAGAGACATAGGCAGAGGGAGAAGCAGGCTCCCTGTGGGGAGCCTAATGTGGGACTTGATCCTAGGACCCTGGGATCATGACCTGAGCCACAGGCAGATGTTCAACCACTAAGCCACCCAGGAGCCCTTTTTTCTTCTTTCTTCTTTTTCTTTCTTCTTCTTTCTTCTTTCTTCTCTTTCTTCTTCTTATCCAATAAGCTCCATGCTCAGTGTGGACCCCAACACAGGGCCCAAACCCAGAACCCAGAACAGGCAGATGTTCAACCACTAAGCCACCCAGGAGCCCTTCTTCTTTCTTCTTTCTTCTTCTTCTTCTTCTTCTTCTTCTTCTTCTTCTTCTTCTTCTTCTTCTTCCTTCTTCCTTCTTCCTTCTTCCTTCTTCCTTCTTCCTTCTTCCTTCTTTCTTCTTCCTTCTTCCTTCTTTCTTCTTATCCAATAAGCTCCATGCTCAGTGTGGACCCCAACACAGGGCCCAAACCCAGAACCTTGACATCAAGGCCTGAGCCGTGATCCAAAGTTAGACACCCAACAGACTGAGCCACCCAGATACCCTACATTGCATTCTTTAATCCACTTTGAGTTGATTTTTGCATATGGTATAAGAATGTGGTCTAGTTTCTTTCTTTTGCATGTACCTGTCCAATGTCCACAACACTAGTTATTAAAGAGACTGTCTTTTTGCCATTGTATGATCTTGCCTTCTTTGTCATAGGTTAATTGACCATGTAAGCATGGGTTTATTTCTAGGCTATCTATTCTGTTGATCTATATGTCTTTGTGGCAATACCATACTGTTTTGATTACTATAGCTTTATAGTATAGTTTGAAATAAGAGATCATGATACTCCAGATTTGTTCTTCTTTCTTAAGATTGCTTTGGCTATTTGGGGTCTTTTATGGTTCCGTACAAATTTTAGAGGATTATTTGTCCTAGTTTCATGAAAAATGCCATTGGCATTTTGCTGTGGCTTGTATAGACCTTTTAACAATATTCTTCCACTTCATGAGCATAGTATAGCTTTCCATTTATTTATGTTGTCTTCAATTTCTTTCAGTGTCTTAAAGTTTTCAGAGTATAGGTCTTTTACTACCTGGATTAAATTTATCCATAGGTATTTTATTATTTTTGATGCAGTTATAATGGGATTGTTTTCTTAATTTACTCTTTCTGCTACTTTGTTCTTAGTGTATAGAAATCCAACAGACTTCTGTATATTAATTTTGTATCCTGCAACTTTACTGAATTCATTTATTCTAGTAAGTTTTTGGTGGAGTTTTTAAGATTTTCTATATATAGTATATGTCAACTGCAAATAGTGAAAGCTTTACTGCATTCGAATTTAGATACCTTTTATTTCTTGTCTTACTGGTGTGGCTAGGACTTCCAATACCATATTGAATAAAAAGTGTTGACAGTGGGTATCCTTGTCTTGTTCCTGATCAAGAGGTTTGAAGTGAGTTTCTTATAGCCAGCATATAGAAGGATCTTGTTTTTTTTTTATTTATTCAGACAACCTTTTTAAAAGATTTTATTTATTTATTCATGAGAGACACAGAAAGAAAGAGGCAGAGACATAGGCAGAGGGAGAAGCAGTCTCCATGCAGGGAACCCGATGTGGGACTTGATTCTGGTACTCCAGGATCACGCCCTGAGTCAAGGGCAGATGCACTTAACCACTGAGCCACCCAGGCATCCCACTCTGTGTTTTGATTGAAGAATTTAGTCCATTTAAAGTAATGATTAATAGGTAGGTACTTACTGCTTTTTGTTGTTCCTTTCCTTCTCTTTTCCCTTGTGGCTTAATGTATTCTCTAGGGTTATGTTTAGATTTCTTTTTCTTTTGTGTATTTACTGTACATTTTTTCTTTGTAGTTACCATAAGGCTCACATAAATA